CTCCAGCTGAGGTTGTCATTCATGTGTACACCCAAGTACTTGTAGCTGGAGACCACTTCCACCACAGATCCTCTTATGTTCAGGGGGGTGTAGATGTTATTTTTCCTTCTGAAGTCCACAATCATCTCCTTTGTCTTCTTCACATTCATGTGAAGGTTATTCTCTTTGCACCAGCTCTCCAGGTGTTCCACCTCTTGCCTGTAGCTGGACTCATCATTGTTTGTGATGCATCCAACCACCGCTGTATCATCTGCAAACTTTACAATGTGACAGCCTGGATGGGTAGCTGCACAATCATACGTGAGCAGAGTAAACAGGAGGGGGCTCAACACACATCCCTGAGGAGAGCCAGTGCTGAGAGTTATGGTGGAGGAGGAGAAGTTGTGGATCCTCACTAACTGTAGTCTGTTTGTTAAGAAGTCTAGTACCCAGTTGCAAATGGAGGGGCTTAGTCCTAGTGTGGATAGTTTGTCCATCAGGGTTTGGGGGATCATGGTGATGAAGGCGGATGTGAAGTCTACAAAGAGCATACGGACGTGTAGTGAACTAAGCCTCCGGTCAAAACCTGACCCTGAGGACCTTCATGGGACAGGAACTGTTATTTCATTGATTTGAATCCAGAAATACAAATTAGCTCATCCAGAGACTTTCTAATTGTATCCTGAACTAATCAATTGAAAGAACACTCTCTTTTTATATTATCATTACTATTTTTACAATGTCTTGATAATCAAAAGTGTGTTTAGTTCAAATTATTTTAAATGTTGAAATGAACCACTCATTTTAAATCAACTGTGAAACAGTATTAATGATTTTTAATCCTCATTCAAAGTAGAAATCAAGTTAGATGTCTGTTACAAAGTAATTATGCATTTTTTGATCTTCTGTCTGAAATGAGAAGGAGTGATGTCGGTCAAAAGTCGGAGACAGTCGCAAACAGGTTTATTGGAACGAACTGTCATGTTTTTAAACCTCTCAGACAGAAACAAGAGAAGCCGGCACCTGTAGTCTGTCATTTCTCCAAAACATTTCTCTGTCTGTTCCTAAACATTTCTCTGTCTTTTCCTAAACATCTTCGCTGTTTTCTGACTTGTAGTAACCTCTTACGTCACTAAAACCACACCCCTGTAGGTTCTTTCAACCAATCAGGACTTCCCAAAAGTGACCGGAAGCAGAACTCTTTAAAAGTCGACACTTCCTAGTTCCAGTAAGTTCTAGGGAAGAACAGGAGTTCCGAGGGATGATCCGAAGTTCTGGGGGAAGAACAAAAGTTCCGAGAGAGAACAGAAGTTCTGAGTTCCTCTGAGTCTTCTCAGAGTCCCGTTAGTTCTTCTGGTTCTGATGGAGTTCGGCTGGAGTTCCTGTCGGAGCCACGATGCCTCGCTGTGGCTCCACCCGGTGAATGCCCTATAACTTCTGAGGAAGTTTGTTCTGTGGAACGAGTTCTCACGACTTCTGCCGAGTCGCAGCCGCCCTAAGGAGACGCTGAAAGGTAGCGTACCAGGGACCTCTTGACCGTAGCTGATTCATCCTCTGCCAAGGTAAAAGAGTCGTCATGAGCTTCACTACCAGTGTACTGCGGGCGAACTGCGCTTGAAAGGAGCGTGTTGTTCTGGTCTACAGACATACATCCTCATCCACATCTTTTCTCTCCATTTAAACTCCTTCATTCCCCATCTTTGAAACTCTTCTATCTCGCCAGTAAAAAGATAAGCTAAGCCTGCAGACATTAACTTAAGATCTAAGGATATGTCTGTTGTTTTTAGCTGCAAGTGAGAAATCATGGCCGTATGATTTCTCATTGTAAAGCTCATTAATTAAGCTGTGTTATTGTAATCAATTATGCCAATCAATGTGTAAATGTGTGATGTGTTTAAATCGTTTTGATAAATAAAAGACCGCACTGTTGTGGTGGGTCAGAAATTTAAACACGTCTTTGTCCACATTTAATCTTCTAGACACGATATTACTTAGTCCAGAAAAATGAAAGAATCCGTTTAAATTGAGTATAATATTATGTACTTGAATTAGTCCATATATTATAAAATGTAAGAGAGCACCCCTGAGCTAAATCCATCTCTCGGCTGTCTCATTACAGACGCAAGAGTTTTTCTGCTCCAGGTGGTTGAGCGCAGCGTGGACCACAGAGGAGATTGCATCCTCTGTTGATCGGTTCTCACGGTATGCATACTGATGAGGGTCCTCGTTGATGTTGATGGTTGTTTTTATGCGAATCATGACCAGTTTTCAAAGCATTTAGCGACTATCGGGGTAAGGGCCACTGGCCGATAGTCATTCAGACCAGTCACGGTAGAGCTTTTTGGGATTGGGATGATGGTGGCAGTCTTCAGGCAGGTGGGAACTGTCTCCAGGGTAAGTGAGGTGTTAAAGATGTCTGCCAGCACCTCGTAGAGCTGATCGGCACATTCTTTCAACACTTTTCCAGGGATGTTGTCTGGGCCAGTTGCTTTGTGCGGATTAATCCTCCTGAAAGTACTCCTTACTTCGGCTGAGGTCACGCTGAGATGCTCTTCATCCAGTGGTGAGGTGAGTCTGGTACTGGGTGGTCTGTTCGGGTCTTCAAAGCATGCATAGAACTTGTTGAGGGCATCTGGCAGAGATGGGTCTTTGGGGCATTGTTCACTTCTTCCTTTATAATCTGTTGTGCACTTAATGCCCCTCCACATGCTCCGAGGGTCTTGTGAGATGAATTGACCTTCGATTCTCTGTTCATATGTGCCCTTGGCCTTCTTAATACCAGCAACCAGTTCTTTCCTTGTCCTACTCAGCTCGTTTGAGTTTCCAGACCTGAAGGCAGTGTTCCTGGCTTCCAGCAGGGTGCGCACCTCTGCATTCAGCCAAGGTTTTCCGTTTGGGCAGCTTTTAACATTTCTGATAGTGGAGACGGTATCAATACATGTACTAATGTAACCCAGAACTAAGGATGTGTATTGGTCTAGATCAAGCGATCCTCCATTTTCAGCAGCTTTTCCGAAAACCTGCCAGTCTGTTCGGTCAAAACAATCTCTCAGTATGGGGCCACTGTCCTATATCCAACATTTAACTTTCTTTTGTACCGGTCTGGAGCGTCTCAGTGGGGGCATGTAAGCCGGAGCCAGGAAGATTGAGATGTGGTCTGACAGTCCTAGGTGGGGGCGGGGTTCAGCTTTGTATGCATCTTTTACGTTCGTGTAAACACGGTCCAGCGTGTTGTTTCCAAGCGTTGGAATTGTCACATGTTGATAAAAGCTTGGGAGACAGTCCTTTAGATTCATGTGATTAAAGTCTCCGGCTACAACGTAAAGAGCCTTGGGGTGTTTGTTCTGCAGCGAGCTGAGGAGATCATGTAGCTCCTGCAGTGATTCATTAGCATTAGCGTCCGGAGGAATGTAAATAACTGTGATGAAAGTCACTGTGAACTCGCGGGGTAGATAATGTGGCCGACATTTCACTGTTATTTGCTCCAAAGCCTTCGAGCATGAGCTATTTACAACAGTACAGTTCGTGCACCAACTTTTACTCACGTAAATGCACACTCTGCCTCCCCGTGATTTCCCTGTTAGCTCGCTGCAGCGGTCCGCTCAAAAAAAAGAGTTTGTCATCCAGCTGGAAGACTGTATCCGGCGTTTCACTTGTAATCCATGTTTCAGTGAGGCAAAGCACCGCACACTTCATCATCTCCTCTGAGGCGCCCGCTCTCAGACGAAGTAAATCAATCTTGTTGTCCAACGAGCGGACGTTCGACAGAAAGAGAGACGGCATGGGGAGTTTTCCGGCTTTAGCGTTAGCTCATAGCCTCACCATAACCCACGCCTGGCATCCTCTCCTCTTAAGCCGGGAGCAGCGCTTCCTCTTCTGCCTGCTGGAATGCCTCTGCTGCAGCTTCCAGGTAGATGACTTTAAGATCTGCATTCTGCCGAGCGTAGTTTTGAGTTTGTTGCTGATTTCTGCTATATTTCGTGGCAAATCCGTTCCTATTCTCATCAGTTCTGTTTGGCTATAGTTCACACGCATAAATCGTGCGGAGTCAGGCACAGAGTCAATATCAAAACGTCTAAAAACTGGGATGGTACCGGGAGCCTGAAAAGCTGCAAATGCTCTGAGCGCGGTCATCTTGGCTACAGAAACATTCATATACATAAAAAGTAAGTTAACAACATTGTTTATCTGAGGAGCAGACTGTTTTGAGTCCAACTTCGTTACCGACTCTCATCTTGAGCAAGCATAAAGTGGAAAGGAAAAACTCCCTCATGAGGAAAAAACCTTTAGGAGAACCAGGCTCAGGACAAGCGGCCATCTGCTTTGACCGGATGAGTTTGGTAGGAATAGCTACACAATGGCAGGTCAAGAATCACTTGTTAAGATATAAATGATTTCAAATGTAAACTATTTATATGTATGCATTTGTAACTATTCATTTAAATAAATGAGGTCTTTTTGTCTTCCAATAGTCCATCTATGGCAGCATAACAAGTCAACCCTAATTATAGGATTTATCAAAAAGGAAAGTCTTAATCCCAGTCTTAAAACTGGACAATGTGTCAGCCTCATGGACAGAAACTGGAAGTTGGTTCCACAAGAGAGGAGCCTGATAACTGAAAGATCTTCCTCTCATTCTGCTTTTGGAAACTCTAGGAACCACAAGTAAACCTGCAGTCTGAGAGCGAAGTGCTCGGTTAGAAAAATATGGAACAATAAGAGCTTGACTATAAGATGGAGCCAGGTTGTTGAGAGCTTTGTAGGTTAGAAGTAAGATTTTTAATTATATTCTGGATTTGACAGGGAGCCAATGGAGAGAAGCTAAAACTGGAGAGATATGGTCTCTCCTACTAACTCCAGTTAAGACTCTGGCAGCAGCATTTTGGATTAACTGAAGACTTTTTTAAAAAGTATTTGGACACCCAGACATTCAGTAACCTTCTTACATTTTATTCCCATCGTAGGAGTCTAAACTGTTAAAAAAAAAGCCTGTGAAATGTACAGCTTATTACAAAAATTACCTGATAGTCCACCACCAAGACTCCTCCGACGAAGGTTTTTTCCATCTTCACTGAGATGCAGTTTCAGTTTAAAAGCAGGACTTAATCCGTGAGTCAGCTCAGGATTACTGAACTTCCTGAGGGATGCAGAAGGTGGCTTGAGGATGTTGTCCAGCTGCAAATAAAGAAAAGCGAAGAGGTGAAACTAAAAATGTTGAGAACTTTTAAAAAACTAAACCAAAAAGCTATATTTAAGTTAAAGATCAATGTTAATGACAAGGACAATGGGGGAAAAAATGAACAAGTGTGGCTTAAATTTGGACGGGTTGCACAAGAAATTATATTCTCTCCAAAACAATATGGCAGCACAACCTACATAAACAAACCACACAAGTCAGAAACAATAACCTTGGATTAAATCAAAATAAAGATGATATGCACATCAGCACATTTGGAGGAAACAGAACTCAGCATAACAGCACAAACACCTTATACTGTCAGCACAGTGGTGAAGGGCTGATGGTTTAAGCTCCTTGCAGTCATTGAGATAACCATGAACAGGATACTAGAGTCAACAGTGAGGCCATCTGTCAGCCAACTGAAGCTTGGACCAAACTGAGTCATGATGCAACTGAACAATGATCTCAAACACAGCATCTAATTACAACAGAACCAAAAAGCTTAAATCATGTCATCTGGACCAGTTTCTTTAAGAACAGCTGAAAAAGAAAATAATCAAGTTCCAGAAATTCAACCCGACTGAAACGTTGTGGTGGACTCGAGAGATCTGAGCAGAAACAAATGTCTGCAAACAATCAGTTGAAACAACATTAAAAACATAACAGTAGACCAAAAATTCATTTATAACCAGGTATGACAGATCAAGTCTTACAGAAAATGCTAACTGTAAATCCATCTGCTAAATCTGGTGTTATGAGATGTACTTAAGTTTTTAATAAAACACTTCTGCAGCTATACAAGTAGCAGCTGTCCGTTGTTAATAATCATGTGGAAATTTTAGAAAACTAGTCATTTAGGAAACCAGAAACTTAACTTTGTTGAGTAAGTTTAAATAGAAGTATAAAAAATAAGACTGCAAGCCAAAAATAATGAACTATTGCATCAGTTTTATTTATCTTCTCAAATGATGTGAACAAATATTTTAACAACATACTTTAAAACAATTTTTGCATCAGAATTTATTTTTATATCCAAGAAACATAAAAACTATTTAGTTACATAACTGTTTAAATAGCCGAACTCATGCAGTAGCAAACCAATCCAATCCAACTTTATTTATAAAGCACTAAAAAAAAACCATACAGAACCAAAGTGCTGTACAGACAAATTAAAAAGCACAAAAGGAATAAAATACAACAAAATTTTGATTCAAAAGACAAACAGCTATGCAATAAAAAATTAAAACAATTAAAGGAGAATCAAATAAATAAGTAATGATGAAATCAACATTTCACATGGTGTCAAAAGCCTGGGGAAAAAGATGGATTTTAAGATGGGATTTAACAACAGGCAGAGAGGTGGCCTGTCTGATGTGGAGAGGCAGACCGTTCCAGAGTTTAGGAGCTGCTACAGTGAAACTAAAAAACTCATTGTCAAACATTATCTATAGGAATCCAATCGTTTCGACATCAGTTACACTGCAATGTATGTTATCAGCTTATTGAAGTCAGAGGATACTTTTGAGCTCACACAACATAAAAGCCGAGAATCAAGCCCAGTCCCTCTGTAAGAACAAAAAGAAACACACCACAGAGAAGTGTGTGGAAAGACATGCTCCCTGCTCCTCCATGAGATGGTTCATGACCTGACAACTGTTCACAAATACAAATAAACCTTTGTAACAAGCACAAGTTAGGTGCAAGCAAAAGAAAGTGATGATTTGTCTAAATGTTTATGGAGAAACTCAAATGTGTTTTTCCTTACAGCAAAAAAGTACCTAAGTTTATTAGTCTTTAGTTCAACAATGGGAATATTCAGTCATGTGGAAACTTGAAACAAAATCAGAATAACATACCTTAATATTTACAGCCTGTCTGAGGCACCAAGCTGCATTATCCCCTCTGCTATGTGTAAACCTGATTATCAAGATAAGTTATGCTGAGAAGGCTTGTACACTGACACTGTGGAGTTTGGTGCTGGCCAACTCATATTGTCAACAGACCATAACCTCCTCTTCATAACAGAAGTGACATTTCATACCAATTGTGTACAAAATGGTACAACTTCTCTCCTGCACTTACCATTTCCACAAGGGATATAAAGGAATACCTGAGTCAGTTTAGGACGTGTTCGTTACAACAGGAATGACAAACAAATGTCAAATGCAAATTTATTATTTTAATTTTCTTTTTTAAACCAAAACAACTCTCCCTGAAGAGAAGTTTTCAAAGTGCTAATTACATGAGAACTGGTTTCCATACAGCACTTCATCTTTCTTTGCTGCTGACATCCAAATTCACTCTGGGACAATGGAGTTTTTAACATTAGAGCTGGAGGCCAAATTAACGCCATCCAGAGGAAGTGAAAGACTACAAAATTTATTCCTAAGATGCTCAGGTCCAAAAACCACAACCTCTAGTTTAAAAGCAGAAAATTAAAAGTCATCCAGGTTTTTATGTCTTTAAGACATGCTTTTAATCCAAGTACCGTAACTGATTGGATTCATCAGGTTTCATGGACAAATATAAATGAGTATCATCAGCATAACAATAAAAATGTATCCCATGCTCTTTAATAATTTTACCTAATGGAAGCATATATAAAGTAAAGAGTATTGGTCCAAGCATTGAAACGTAAGGAACTCCATGACTAACTTTGGTGTATGAAGAAGTTCTATTTCATATAGGCTTCGCCCTTTAAGGCTGTCGCTGATGGGTTTATCCCGTTATGCAGAGCATAAGCACTGAAAAAATTAGTCCACGCCCACCTGCTGTGTGGGCCCCACCCGGTCCGTATAAATTACGTTAAGAGCGGGAAATCGGCTCCCATTTTTTCTTCAGCGAGCTAATATAGCACTGTCAGAAGAACAAAGAAGATAAATTGTGTAAATGACCAACCTTTGCAAAAGATGCTTGGCCCGGCAGTCGACCTCCGGTCGTCCGGTGAGTTCTCCTCCCCGAGGAGAAGATGACAGCAGTCTTATTCCAAGGTAAGCGTCGGGGAACATTTCCCAGTGACAGGTCACTACACGCTGGACAACGCCATCTTGTGTTTTTCCTCTTATCGCCGACCCTCGGGGCGAACCGGATGGTTCCTCCGGGGCAAGGCGTGCTCAGCTGCAGCCCCGCTGCTCTTTCCCTCCTGGGGAGCGTAGTGTAGGTGGAGGGGGGCTGAGTGAATGCTCACCCCATCCCACCTCGTTTCGCATCGGCGATCACACCGCTCCCGGCCGACGGCGCCCTCAGGGGTTGCCCGGCGGAACCCGGGAGGAGGCTGACATGAAGGGACCCCTTTTTTCTACGTCCCTCGCCTTTTCCCGCCAGTTCGGATGATCGGCGGAAAGGTTATTTTTCACTGGGCTCCACTCTGGCTCACCGTCTTGATCCATACGGCCTCGCGTCCCAACAGGACGTTCCACGGGCGAGGCCGCAGACGGTTCTTTCCTGGTAGATTAGAGGAGTCGGTCCCCAGTCCGCTCCCATCACCAGAGTTGAGGGATTCACCGAGCGGGGCTATTCCTCGGTAACCCCCCCCTGGAGCCAAGCCTCGCGGAAGCTTCCGGAGCGAAGCTGCCCAGGTCGGAGCAGCGTCCCGTCCCTCCGGAGGAACCAGACGGCGACCACGCTCTCCAATCGAGCCCACCGACGTGTTTTTCAGGCAGCCGCAGCTAGCAACAACGTGCGCTGCTAGCATATAGCATGTCCAAGGGACTGAAGGCCGCAGACCTGCCTTGAAGACGAAGAACTCCCTCTGTAAGGCAGCTGACGCTATTCCTCGGTACCCCCCCCGGAGCCAAGCCTCGCGGAAGCTTCCGGAGCGAAGCTGCCCAGGTCGGAGCAGCGTCCCGTCCCTCCGGAGGAACACAGACGGCGACCACGCTCTCCAATCGAGCCCACCGACGTGTTTTTCAGGCAGCCGCAGCTAGCAACAACGTGCGCTGCTAGCATATAGCATGTCCAAGGGATTGAAGGCCGCAGATCTGCCTTGGAGACGAAGATCTCCTTCTGTAAAGCAGCTGACGCCAGCTCAACATGTGTGCCTCTCCCACGGTTTGCCTTGTCGGGGACTGCAGCGCGGAGGACGATGACCCAACGATCCACCTGGCTTCGTTACTCCCCTCGCTGCCGGAGAATCTGCACAAGACCTGATGAAGCCCATCGCGGACGCGCTGTTCAGAGCAGCTTCAAACCATGCTGGCGAAGTGAAACAGTCGGAGGAGGTGCCAAAAGCTGTTCGCCACCTCATCAAGCCGCGCGGCCCACCCCGTCCCCGCTGGAGGGACCGTCGCGAGCAAGTTTTCGACTTTTCCACGGCCGCGGCTCTCGCTGAGTTCCACCACCAGCCCCGCCCGTCAGAATCCAGCCCTCTTCACTCCGGCAGCCTGCAGCTCAGCGTTTCCCCAGAGTTCGCCTGCAAGACAGCGCTCTGGGCAAACAATCGCAGAGCTCATGAGAGAGAAAGCTCTCAAAATGACGGTCTCCGGAGGGTGTGTGTAAAAGTGACACGAAAGTTGAAATAAATCATCATTAATGATCCAAGTGTCTGTTTTTTAGCCAGTCTGTAAGCCCGGATGAGCTCACAGCGGCCGCACACATAAGAGCGCACTCGTGGGATGAAACAGCCCCACACACGAGCCGGTGTCCTTAAATAAAGGTTTTTAACTCACCGTCGCTCTAAGACATGACGAGTCGATCACAGGACAGCCTCTACACATGAGCCGGTGTCCTTAATTAAAGGTTTTTAACTCACCGTCGCTCTAGACATGACTAGTCGATCACAGGACAGCCTCCACACATGAGCCGGTGTCCTTAATTAAAGGTTTTTAAACTCACCGTCGCTCTAGACATGACGAGTCGATCACAGAACAGCCTCCACATGAGCCGGTGTCCTTAAATAAAGGTTTTTAAACTCACCGTCGCTCTAGACATGACGGGTCGATCACGGCACAACGGTAAGCGAAAATAACTCATTACCAACTAGAACTGCATGATCCTC